TGAGGGGCCCAAAACTGAACACAGGATTCGAGGTGCGGCCTCACCAGGGCCGAGTACAGGGGCACGATCACCTCCCTCCTCCTGCTGGCCACACTAGTTATGATACAGAAATAGCACTTAGGCTTCAGCTACCAAGTGACAAGAGCCCGGGGACAACGTACAGCAAGGCCACCAGGATTGGGACAATACCCACTTCGCAGGGTGCTAGCACTCATACCAGGCGGAGTTCATGGTGCAGGAACATGCTCCTGCCCGGAGAGCATCTCTGCTAGCAGCCTGGCATCGCTGCCACCCTGCTCACCACCCAGCTGGCAGCAGAGGCAGAGGAAGGTGGCTGTCACCGCCTGGTGGCACCGGCACTCCCTGCAGCAGCAGCACAAAGCTGTTCAACAGCTTCCTCCCTGCAGAGGCCTCACCGGGCACAAACAGCCCCAAACTGGTGCTGTTTCACCTGAGAGAGAGGGAAAAAGGGGGGAAAAGAGGGGCAGGTCCTGCCAGAAGGGCTTCAGGATGATAGGAGCGGGGATGGCGGCTCACAGCAAGAGTAGGGGGGTATGACTTCCCCCCAGGTGACACTGCTGGGTCACCTCTGCCAGCACCATGGCCACAGACCACCAGGCTCCGGCAGGTGAAGCACTGACAGCCTGCAACCCCTAACACCTGGGACCAGTGTCCTGCCCCTGTGGAGATTCGTGTCCCTCCAGCAGAGCTGAGCTTTCCCTCCTTTCTCCTGGCTGGATCGAGTGTCCCCAACTCCACAGAGCAGGCTGGTCCTCCAGAGAGGGCCACCGAACGGGGAGGCACCCCAAGCCATCAAGCAGCTTGAAGGCAAAGCAGTGACTTGCCGTGGAAATGAAGTGTTTATTATGACCAAGCAGAGATACAGGGGCAGGAGGCTTCACTGTAAAAGGTGCCTCAGAGACAGGGAGCTGTGGTGTGCCGGAGGGAGGCCCTCATTTGCTTTCCAGCTGCTCTAGAGGGAGCGAGACACCCCCCTCTCCCCAAGCACCAACAGGGCAAGGTTCTGCCTTCACAAGGGGGTCTATCACCTCAGGACCACTCCCCCAGCCAGTCCTGGCTGCGGCCATCAACCCCACGCAGAGGCGCAAGCGCCGTTTCTACAAAAATATCCTTCCCTCCCAAAAAAAAGACTGTAGAGAGCAGGCAGGGCTCCCACGGTACAGTGTTATTGCTCAGTGTGACAGGCGGTCAGACACAGGAACTTAAGGCAACAGGAATAAGTGCACTAGGTGGGCCCCCCGACGCGTGCACGGCACAGCCGGGCCCCCACCCCAGCTCATTGTCTCAGGCAGTCCTCGGTGACACCCTGCGCGGCCAGCTCCGCCAGCACATTGTCCAGGTAGTTGGGGTCAGGGTAACCGTGGCCGCTCAGGTTTGTGTCCATCTCCGTCTTGTGGTGGATCTCGTTCCACACTACCGTGTTGCTCTCGCCGGTGGTGCTGGAGGTGCCCACTGTGAAAATCAGGCGTCTCTTCCAGGCCACCCTAAGGAGCTCCAGGACCTAAAGGTGGAGAAAAACCAAAGCTGGCCTTCAGCAGCTAGGAGACTTGAACCATAAAAGCAGCTTGCCAGAAGCTTAACAGCCTAAATCCTTGTCGTAGCAAGAGGAAACCAAAGATCCCAGCATCAGAAGGGATCTCCCTCACCTCCTCGTTACCCATGTGGCTTCCCTGATGGGAAGGACCGTTCCCTGCACATGCTGATCTTCCAGGACGTGAAAAATACTGGCACAAGTTGAGACAAACACACCCACCCAGAGGAAACTGGGATGGGAAGAGTCAGCAGCGAGACTTTCCGAGCTCAGCAGTTTTAAGTGCAAACCCTTGTAACTGCATAGCCCAAGATAGGCCAGGACTGTCTTCCCAAAAGATCAGATGGGATTTTGTTTAGTAAAGGGATGAAGGAGAGTACATCTTCACAGTCAAAGTTGTGAAGAAGCAGCAAAGGTCTTCAAAGGCAGAGGGGTTACAAATACATGTAAGGAACTAACAGCATGGACAACTACTAAGAATAGCTGGTTAGCATCACGAGGACAACTCCCAAAAGCAACCCTGTTGTGCCAATCCACCAACACAGGGCCAAGAGACAACCCGAGAAGGATCATGTTATCAGGGTGTGATACCTTACCTTTCTGCCCTTCTCATTGTCTGGTAGATAACAATAGCGAGGAAAGCCTCTTGCCGTGTAAGGCATCCCAGGGTTGGGGTGCTCAGGGCCCTGCAATAGATAAGACATATTTGGCATGGACACATCCATCTTCATGAGTTGGACAATCCCTCAGCAGCAGGATTTGACACAGGTCCATCTCAAAGCAGCTCTTCCATGTAAAAGGAGCAAGGTATTGCTGATGATGAGTATGAGGTATCTGACTTGTTCTTATGGGACATGCGAGTATTACGGGTCCTCCAAGAGGGGTCTCATGTGGGGATACAAAGCCAGCTCTTCAGATTACTTAAATTCTAGGTGGTAGACAGCCCCATACCACAGCTTTTTCCATGTGGTCTGATGACACCCTAAAAAGACCACCCAGCTCAAACCTTTGCAAGCTCACTGCAACCACCGAAACATCAGATGTGGGTTGCGAAAGAAGACATTGGGACCTCTCCCACCTTGTGAGCGTGGGCTGAGTCTCCTCTCTGCTTCACACAGACATTCGTCTTTACTATAGGTGAAAGGCTGTTGTAGACCCTGGGGCCACGCTCGAAGGGGGAAAAGATCTTTCATGGAGGAGACTCAAGTCACCCATACATTGAAGAACAGCCGGTGCAGCTGCTGGCTCCAGGCAGCAGGTACTGTACTAGATCCCCGTGCTTCTCTGGGAGGCTCTCACAGCTTATGCTATCCATTAGCAGCCGTTCCTGTGAGCGTGCCGTGCACTCACCTGGATGCCTCTGCTGATGTGATACACAATCTGGATTGTCCCGCAGTCCTTGTGGCCAGGGAGGGACTGGGGAAAAGTGGAGACCTCCATCCTCCCTTTGGGCTGAGTACCGGTTTTCTCTCCATAGATGGTTTTACAAGAGGGGCACTGCAAACTCCCATCCTGCAGGGAGAGGGAAGCAGGCATCAGAGCTCCACAACCGAGTCACCTGGGCACAGGGGACCTGGTGGGGACAGGCTGGCTTGGTACCTTGTTCCCGTTGGAGTACATGGCCAGCATGCAGAGCATGTGGAAGGAATGCTGGCAGTTTGTCAGACGACCGACCGTCTCCGGCTTGATCGTGCTGCACTCGCATGCGTCACTGTAACCTGAGGGGGCGGACAGCTTCTCCATGCAGATGATACAGTCCTAGAGTCCAAGACAGCAAGGAGAAAACCACCATGCAGTGCGAGCACAGGCTGATTGTAACGACTGACCCACCAAGGAGGCAATCAAGGAGATACTTCAGGAAGATTTGCCTTCAACTTTAATCCTTCTCTTTGAGGTTTAAAGGCACAGAGACAGGTTTCCTGTCTGGCTGGTATCAGCCCATCTTGTGCTCTTGGACAGCAAAAGGAGAGAGTGGGAACTGAGTACAGATATGTCCTGCTCCTCTTCAGAGCAGCTCCAGTGCAGGGTTTTGATCTCTGTAGTTTTGACCTCTATGAGCACTGAGAGGAGACCAAAGTCAAACTCCCTCCTCCACCCCAGGCCCTGCAGCCAGGTCCAAGGGAAATGGGGAGACATTGCCAGGATCAGCTACTCAACCTACACCATGCTTTCTCTGTCACAGTCCTCTGATGAGGACAAGTCCCCAGTTACCACGTGTGGGCTTCAGGCAATGCTGAGGCCTCTCCACCTAGCATCAACAGTGCCATTGCAAGCAGCAGTATCTACCATATGGGATGCCCAAGGAAGGATGGTCCTCAGGCATCACCGTGGTTTTCACAGCACCCCAGTGAACAGGCCACTGGGCAAGCCGGAGTCACTTCACTGTCCTCTCACCTCATCGGCAGGAGAGCCCTTCACCTCTTCCAGGTACTTCTTCACCACTGCTTCTGGCTCGGTTGGTGTCGCTGCACAGGGAGAGAGATGAGAAAAAGAGAGGAGAAGTCAGACATGCTGTGAGGTATGACAGGAATGTGCAGGGTGAGCTAGAGAGAAAGGAGACAAGCAAGTCACTGGCCAGGACGCCAAGGAGAAAGGTTAGGGTTCGAGGGGGAGAAGAGGCTGCTCCAGCTGATCCCTACAAGCCCTGCAAGGGCTTTGCTATCAGAAATGGCTACCCCTAGGACCGTGGGCGCCGCAGATGGGACAACCCACTGGCGGATGTTGGTGCCCTTTGTCGTACACCCAGGGGTCCGCCTGTAGCTGCTGTGCTCCAGTTCTTCCCACGTACACCAAGTGATGCCAGCCAGGTGCCAGCTGGACTTTGTGTTTGATCTAGGATCAAACTCAACCCAAGGTCTCACTGGGATAGAGGATTACATCACCTGTGGTGTCAAAGGAGAAAAGGCATTCCCACATGGCCCCAGCTGACAGGGACCTTCTCGCACCCTGCAGCTGGCACCTGATAAGGAGAGACCCAGCGATACACTAACCTTCATGCCCTGTTTCAAGTATGGCAGAATGAGCCTTGCATCCTTAGCATGAAATAGCAGCCTTTCTCTCAAACTTCTACACACTCAAATCCAGCAAGACACAGCGCAAGTCACAGGGTATATAAACCAAACCAGCTTTGTAACAGGTACCCTATTTGCAGCACACGACACTGATACCTTCACATTTTCCTAAATATAGTCCCTGCTTCCCATCCACCCAGGCACGGACACCTGAGGAGCCCACCAGCATCAGCAGCCTGGTCCCCTCGGAGGCGTTACGGGATTAAGCAACAAACATCACACAACACCCAGAGCAAGTTACCGCCGAGAGCATCAGCAGCCACCTCAACTCTCAGCCCATCCTTTCGGAGCTGCCCAGCAAGGCTTGGCTTAAGCCAGCAAGCATCGCACACCTCTGCACGGTGCCCAGCCCCGGGCGAGAGGAGATGAGCCCCTTACCGGTCATCAGGCCCGTCACGGAGGCTGCCAGGCTCTTCCACCAGTCTAGGAAAGGAAACATTTGCACAAATGACGTTATGACTCCACCTGGCAGGAGGCAAAAGAGAGACCTGTCACTTGGCTCGGAGGTAACCTCACCCTTCCTTCCCAAATCTACTTCTGGAAGAGATCAGGGGAAAGCTGTGCCGTGACAAATGGGACGGCAAAGGCGTAGCTCTTCCTTCTCTGTTCTCCTCCATCCTGGCCGGCCGAGCCACCGGGGCAGTTCGGGGAGCAAAGGAAATGCTAGCAGCAGCCAGACAGGCCACAAGCATCCGTGCCCAACACCCCAGGGCCTCACAAGGAGTTGTACTCCAACACTGGCCCAAAGAGCTTTGCTCTCAAGCTCGTTTCTAAGTCACTGTAGGACATCAACTGTGCTTTAGCACAGAGAGTACTGCTACTCCAAACTGCCACGCTCCCAGGTGGATGCAGAGCATCGCCACGTGCAACTGCTGGGCATCAGAGCTGTGGGTGTACCTGCACGACAGGCATCTTCAGCTCTCCCCATCCACCTTAGGGCTTTCAAGGAAGATGGAGGGTTCACAAGTGTGCCTCTGTGGTTGAAAAAGCTGTGCATCAAGAGACAGTCACACCGGAGCCAGCACCGAGCTGTTCTGCCACCCCAAAAAGCAGTCTCTGTCAGCAGCAGGAAGGGGTGGGTGCTATTTTCTGGATAACCACTCTTCATGGTAGAGGCAAACATGGTGAAGCAGAAGGGAATGCCACAGGTGTCATTAAACAGGCAAAGACCTGGATGGCACAGATCCTGTATCACGTAGGAGCCCCTCGTTCCCCTGAACACCAGCTCTGCAAGCGGCTAGTGCTACAGGGGCACCTCGACAGAGAGCACAAGGTCGCCCTGCACACAGACAGCTGGGTGAGATGCAGCCAGGGAAGAGACGCCTGTTCACTGCAGACAATCTAGCTCGGGGCAACAGAAGAGAGTGAGGCAGAGCTCTAACGTGGGTGGAAAATTGTTTAGCTAAGGAAGGCTGATGAACTGGGAGCTGGACTCTCCTAAATGAAGACACAGTCGTTAAGATGAGTTATTTTCAGAAGGGGATTCCTGGCCATCCTGAAACACATAATTTCTGGCAGCACTAGCAGGCGGAAGGGATAACTGAGCACACAGAGCAAGAAAAGGAGCCCACAAGGTGAAGGGATGCTCCCTCCGAGTGCCGGTGCCGGGCAGGAGGAGAGATGCCTGACATCTCAGGCAGAGCAGGGCTGTGAGGATCACCCTCTGGAGACCCTTAGTCAGGAAGGTGGTAACAGGACAAAATAAGCATTAAGCCAAAGAGCAACACGGAAGCAGGTGTTTTCCACTTCAGGGGCATGCCAAAATTCCCTGGAAAAGCATTTCCAAGAACTGCCACAAGAAGAGCAGGAAACAAACAGGAGCCTGGGCAAGCCCCAGCCTTCCAGCTCTCAGGCCAAGAGCTCAGCAGTGCCAGGAGCTGCTTCAAGGCCTCATCACCAGACCCCACAGGGAATGCAGCTCCTTGCCTTGTCTTTTCCAAAGGGGAGAAACAGGTCCAGGAATCCTCTCTGCTGGGACCTTGCTCGCACGCAGCGGATCAAGAGCTGCCAGCCAGGAATGAGTCGCAAGGGGATGCGATCAGTCTGAACTGTCTCAGCTCATTATCAGAGCTCAGCTTGGTGTTTACTGTGCCTGAAGCCCTCCCAGCTGTGTGCTCTGTGACATCCGTGCTCCAGGCTGGCAAACACAGGGTGGCACTGTCCACACGTGGCAGTTGGAACCAGGCTCTGGTTTGCAACCGCAAGAGACCTTCATGGTCACATGGGAGACGGAGGCTTCAGCTTCTTCTGGTCTGCAGGTTTTGGAGAGGACCGTGTGAGCAGGGCTAGCTGCTACCCACTGTAACTCCATCCGCTTCCACGAGTACCCGATCACGATGATCGCCACATTCCCGTTCCTGAGGATCCCGTGCTGCCTGCCAGACTGACCACCAAGTCCTCCTCCAACTGCATTCTGTTTTCGATGTGGCTCTTTTTGAAGTGACCTTCTTGTCTCCTCTGGCTATGGGCTGGAGAAAACAGTGCCAAAAAGATGCACAGACAAGGTGGTGAAGACAGCGAGGGAAGCGAGCCGAGAGGCTGTGTTACACCAGAAGCAACACCTGCCCAGTACTTGGCAGAACGCCCCAGCTCACCTGCTCCCACCTGCACAGCAGATCTCAGCAGCTTTAGAGCAATTCACCTTGTTCAGGATAGTGGAGGATGCTCCTTCCCTGCAGCCCCTGCTGTGCATTTCTCTTGCTGTTGACTTTCCTTCCTCTGTAGCAGCTCAGAGAAAAGAAGAGATGACTTGCCCAAGAACTGGCCAGGCTCACTCGAATCAAATCAATGAAATAAGACAAAAATCCTGCTGCAGAGCCAGGTAAGAGTGAGGACAAGAAAGCTCTTTGCAGAGTCTGTGGGGTACAGCAGGGATTTCGGGCGAAGCAAATGGCATTATACCACCTCACCAGCTGGCATTAGAATGGAGCTGGGAGCAATCAGACAGGCAGAAGAGGGTGATGCAGCCCTCAGCCATCCTTAGGAAACCCATGCCTGATGGGTTTGCATTGTGGCATCTCTGATCTGTTCCTGTCACTTTGCTGTGATAATGCTCCGATGCATTTAGATCCACCAAGGTTGTCTGGAGAGAGAAAGGGCTGGGGAGCCCAGATGCTTTAGAAAATCTGTCCCCAGCTGCAAGTGCTTGAACGTCCAATCCCAAGGAAGCCTTTCTGTGCGGAGAACTTGGTTTCAGCAAGGGTAGCGAAGCCCACACAGCCTTCCTTGCCTCTGAAGAGAGGCTCTTCCTTGGGCAGGCCACATCCCAGCAGCACAGGGGGGAGCTAGACGAAGGCAGGGAGGCACAGCACCTGCCACGGCACAAGCCACATATGCTTCAACGCATGAATCACTTCCTTACTGGACCATTTGTTCCATAAAACTGTTTGCCTCCAAATCTTTGTTCTAGCCATCCCTTGGGATCAAAGCCTGCTCAGTCCCCATAGTTTTCAGGATTCAATAGCGGATTGAAAATGCACTAGCACAATCGACCGATGCTGTTTATCACCAGCTGGCACAATGCTGTGCTATTGATTTATCTGGGATGTGAAGGAATGTTTACCATTCTTTCATTTACAAAGAGAGGAATAACGATTTTTTTTTTTTTTTAATGCTTCCCCTTCCTCTCTGTAGATAATAAGTTGCTTGCTGAAGCAAGGGCTTTCCACGGGCAACATTTAACAGATGTGTTTTGAATCCTTCCTCAGCAACCAAATGCTTGCAGCAGTAACATACCTCCTTCTGTATCCCAAAACGAGCCATATGGTTAGCAGCAGACTTTTTTTTTTTTGATATCCTACGCAGGCCAGACACAGGTTGTTTCTAGTTATTGCCATGGACAGTCACCCAACTCTGATCACCTCTGCCCTCTGTTCCCTGGACTTACAAGGGCTGGACCTACTGGCCTCACCCTCAAGACGGTTGTCCAGAGATCAGGAAGGTGAGAGAAGATTTGGTGTTAAAAACAGCTTTCTCCACATTTAGCATTTCAGCAGGCTAACCAAGCGACCAGGCTGCTCTGATCCTGACACTAAGCATCCCTGTTATTGCAGCCTGTCTCCTTCAGCAGGTGGTCCCCCATGGGAACGGTGAGCTCCCCTGACTCAATGGGCTCCCCAGTCCTACCCATCCCATAACCACTGGCACAGACCGCAGTCCCAGCTGCAGATGGACAGGACATATGGGGAGCAATTAGAGTCAGCTGGGATTACTCCCCTCACCTAGCTAGATGGATCCTGCTCGGCAGGGAAGGACGAGCGTACTCATCTCCTCTCCCTCCGTGACCGCAGCACTCTGCACATGACTGCCCATCCCAGAGAGGATGTGCAGGGAAACCTCCAAGCCAGGGGAAAAGCGGACTGTGATCCCATCAGCTGAAAGGGTAACAAGTGACACAACAGACTCAAAACAACGCCTTCTCCCTTCAGTCCCCCTCCGTGGCAGCACGGCAGCACTCGGAGAGCCAGACAAGCTGCTCACCTCCCTCCTGGACAGCCGGCGGGATCCCAGCC